TATATATGACAAAGAGGAATAGAGCTCAGATCTAGACCACTGGACTAGAATGGCATAATTCACTGATAAATAAACAGGGCCGATTCAGTGAGAGGGTGTCAATTCTTAAAATTACTAGGACAAGGAAAGCCCCGTGATGGCAAAGGAAGGACACTTAGCTTCCGATGTGTGAGGCTAGGGAAATAAAATCCAAAGTTCGTTGGAATTCTAGCTTTTGGGAGTATTTTCAAAGCATATTATCTTATATGTACATGACGTATGATTAAACATGTGATTAAAATTTATACAAAAAGTAAATGTATTCTAATAAAAAACCTTGCTTAATACCCCTCAAAATATTCTTCCTTGCTTTGAGCACTCTTATTCCCTTGCTCTTGCTACTTTCTGAAGCAGTTGTAGAAATCTTCTTTTGCATCTTTTGTTTGTTTTGTGGGCCTCAATCAGTACCAACAGCATACTTCTTGTGGCATTTTGACATTAGGGAAAAGCCAAAAGCCACATGGTGGCAGAGCTCATGAATAGCGTGGAGGACACACTGTAACACGTTTGATGAGTCTGTCTTTCTGTTTGATGACACTCAGCAGAGGCATTCACTGTATTTTTGATCACCCTTCATAAAGATAGTCTCACTGCATTTGTTGACTCTTCAGTTATGAAGCTTTGGAGCTTTGACAGCAAAGGGATCCTGAGGACGTGTTTTGAAACTTTTATTCTCTAAATTGTGTACAAAAGTTTTATGCGCACTGATTTATTTCTTTGGTGTAGTTTCCTCTAGTGACAAGGTAACCACTGAAGGAGCATAGGTTTACTTATGTCTCTGTAAAAGAAAGAAGCTGAATAGTGCATTTACTTTCTTTTATTAAGGCAGACATAAAACCTAATGGAATGTAGGGTTCTGGAATTACAGAAATACCTGTCATTTATTATGTGTATATATTTTTCTTGATCAGTTATTTCTACCTAAAAATATAACACTGTCTTATGTACATGTAGAAAGTTCTACGTAGCATCCATATGCATACACACACAGATGTTTTATGCATTTTATTGATCTTTAAGTTGTTTCTTTGACTTTTGGGTTTTGAGATTCCTAAGTTTAAAATCCAATTAAGATCCTATTCTTCTCTCCAGGAAAAGAATTATTGAACAACAAGAGTATTAGCTGTGATAGTAAAAAAATTACTGAGAATCACTATGTGATGTTCCCTAATTAAATTCTGAACACCTGCCAGCATTGCTGCCACTGTCATCGGCTTGGGAACCAGTGCCACCCCCGTGTCACTGCGAGTGTGTGCTGGAGCCCAGGCCCTACTGAGCAGCCTGAGCCTGGCACCTGTACCATGAGAGCCACTACACATCTAGTGCTCCGGGTCTCAGTACACATCCGGTGGTGCAAGTGAGAAAAGTTAGACAGCAGGTGGAATAATACACTGAAATTGAAATTGCACGGTGAAATCTCACCGAACTTACTTGTTTCGTGTTTGTTTCCTGGCCAGAGTGTGGTGGTCGCCTGAAAGCAGAAGCCAAACCCAGAGATCTGTACTCACACGCACAGTTTGGTGACAACAACTACCCAGGACAGGTCGATTGTGAATGGCTGCTAGTATCCGAGCAAGGCTCTCGACTTGAATTATCTTTCCAGGCTTTTGAGGTGGAAGAAGAGGCTGACTGTGGTTATGACTATGTTGAGCTCTTCGATGGTCTTGATTCGACAGCCGTGGGGCTTGGTCGATTCTGCGGATCAGGGGTAAGATGACGCACTGCCGTACCTTACAATTCCTGTCACATAGTGATGGATAAGTATAACATCTATGAATTGACCATATCTTTGAAAATAATTTGCCCATTTTTATTACTGACTTGGTGAAATATAATGTGGCATTTCTACATTTTCCTTGTTTGTATTTTTAATGTATTCTCCTGACAATTTAGATGAGCAAATAATTTGGAATTTACAATTTCTTATTATTTTTCATGTTCTTTCTATTATGCAGTAATTTTAAGTACCTCGTAAGCTTAAAGCAAGATACTGAAACACATACCCTTATCAATTTTGTCACCTTCCTAAGTGAAAATATACAAGGAGAAAATAAAGAACGTGCACATCATCTCGTTTGCATTACCTTCTCATCAAATACTTTTGGTGAGAGTGACAGGATTAGCCACCAGGGTTTGGGCTCAGCCAGTGCTCAGGGAATAGTGTTCATTGCACAGTGTCAGGTGTAAGGCTAAAGGAGTCACAGACAAGTCAGAGGAGGCCATCGTGAGAGAGAACTGCAAGATGAGCTTAACATTCTCAATGGCTTCCCCCCCCCCACAACTCAATGCATTAATATTAAACAGTTTTCTGAGTGCATGTTTTGTTGTGAAGATATTACTCCCAGGTTTCTGAAATCCACTATTATCTACTTAAGTAATACTACTGAGGTAGTACCTAAGTAACACCTGGAGTGAAACAAATAAGTTTCTTAATACTTGGGTTATTTAAAAAAATAAGTAATGAGTACAATGGCACATGCCTGTAATCCTCATGATTCAGGAGGCTGAGATAGGAGGACTGCTAAATTAGAAGCCAGTCTGGGCAAGTGCGTGAGATCTTTTCTCAAAAAGTGAACAGGCTGAAGATGTAGCTGAGCATCAAGACACCAGTTTTAGTGCCTAAAACAGCAGCAAATAATGGAAGGTTTAGGTTCTACAAGTGACTCTGCCTCAGAGTAACTTCTGAAACAAGTTTATTCTGTTTATCATCATTGACTCTCACTTTACTTATTTCTCAATCAAAAGAAGCTTGCCTGAGGGTGCAGTGAAAAAATGCTAAATTCTAGAATGTGTGCAGAACTTAGAAGTAGATTAATATATGTCTAAAACTCAGCTATGACACTAGCCATGTGATTTCTCGCCATGTGATTGTTTTCTGAACATGAAGATTTCTCCCCTGTAAGTGGAAGAAGTCTATCATGCCTGCTTTTCAAGGTGGTTGAAAGGGTTAAACTATATATAAAAGAAAAAAATTGTCAAACATATATTGCACTGAAGAAAAAGTAATTCATTCTGCTTTTTGTTTTTTTTCTTCAGCCAGCAGAAGAAATCTATTCAATTGGGGATGCAGTTTTAATCCATTTTCACACTGATGACACAATCAACAAGAAAGGATTTTATATAAGATACAAGAGCATAAGATATCCAGAGAGCATGCATACCAAAAAATAACACCTCGACCTCTATCAGAACATAAAGGAATGTGAACAATGGAAAGAAGACATATTTTTTTTAAACTGAGGCTCTTAGCACAAATGTTTTATATAGTGAGTTGGAAGAAAAGAAAACTGTAAGATGAAAGTTATACTAATTGTACTAAAGGAGGCGTTTCTAGCTAACGGTGACCAGCATTACAGGAATATTTGAACGCTACACGTGACGCGTTAGTAAACCGGTGAATGGGTGCCTCGTGCTTCAAGGAAGACTGCATCAGCTTCTGCTCACCGCTTGAAACAGATGCCTCATGATTCGGACACTTCAACTCTGGGGCCACTACCCTACGGGGTGTTCTCTTTGACTATTTTTCATGATTTGGAGACATACAATGATCTTGCAAGTTATAAAATGGAAAAACATTTTATCTTTAGCATAATTCCTTTGACTTTGTATCTCTGATACAATGTAAACCAGATCCATGTAAGGTGATGTGAAGCGGGAGCCTTGGAGGGTGGTTTGTACCATGGGTGTGTGTGCGTGTGTGTGTGTGTGTGTGTGTGTGTGTGTGTGTGTAATGTCTGGAAACTGGAATATTTCAGCTTCATTATTTTCACTTGTAGGCCAGCTTAACTTCTTTAAAAATGCAAATAATATTGAGACCACTTCATTGTACTTTCATTTTGACAACTTTGAAGTGTCGATAGTATCCATTAATGTGGTTAAAATCTAGACATCACTTATTTAATTCCTGGAAAAGGCTCAGATAAATGGTCAGCTAGGTTTCTTCTATGGAAATGCTGCCTTTTCAAACCAAATCTAAGAATTCTGTAATGTCTTACTATCTTTATGAGAAAACTCCCACAAGATGTTCAGGATTCTTCTACATGACAGCCTGGATGATTCATATACAAATTACTACTGCTGCTATTGTCTTTCTTTTGATGATATTGTATTATTGTTATAGTTATTATTGTTGATGTCATGACTAGTGTATTTGTTTAAAAATGGAATGAAGTGGAAGTGGCCCTTGTGAGAATTTAAAAATCTCTCTTCTTTTGTTTTCTGAAATTCAGTTTAAAAATGCAATGTTGAAAAAAGGGTTTTTTTTTCCTAAAGACTTCCTATGGTGCTATTCCATAAACTTTTTTTTAAACAATTTTTTTACCTTTGAGCCAACTGTAGACTATGAATGTCTCCATATGTCTGGCTGGTAGCATCTGAAGAGTAAAGACTTGTGAAATATATCAAGAGTATATCATTGCAAAGGCAGATACATATATTTCCTGTGGAACAACTACTTATATTGCCTTAGAATTCTTACACATGATTAAACAGCTCTTCCTAGAAACATTCTTTTTTTAAGTATTGAACATAATGGTATATGTTAATCAGCAGCTTCATGAGAAAAACCTGTTTCCTTGATGGAGCCATGGGACATAAACATGATGACTTGCTTTTCTTTAGAAAATATAATTTTAGGATGATTTTTTTTGCCCTATAGCTGTGTATGTTTTTAATATTAATGTATGTATATGTGAGATTGTCTGAGTGAATGGGCCTATGAGAAAGTGAAGAGTAATGGTCGCTTACAAAGTTAAAACATACGTGCCAAGTTCTACTACAATCCTGCTTGAAATAGCACCTTTCTTAGCTTTCATGGACAAATAATGGGAACTACTAAGTATTATCAATCCCATTAAAGAAAGACTCTTTCTTTTTGAGAATCTCTATTTTAATATTTTTGATGATGTCTATTGCTATGTGAGGTAGTTTTGTTTCTGTTACCTGTCCATGAACACTGAACATTTAATAAAATTGGTGTATTTCTTTGTTTTTACAAAATTAAACTCTACGCAGACAGCTTATTTGTTCCTTTTCTCATTGTTGACCTGAAAAAAACGTTCCCCTGCATATAATCTGTAAAGTGTAAATACATTTTTGAAACCAGTGTTTTGATCTCATTGAATGTTACTTTGGAAATGTATGAACTGTGGCCTGCAATGTAGACAAGTCTTTTAGTGGATCTGATTTATTCCAGTAACTTCTAATATATTTCCTCACTCATCTCCAGTTAGCCAAGATATGCCAGGAATGATAAAGAGTGAAAAGACATTCATGCTGAAAGTGCTGTGCACCCCTCTGAGCTCAGCATTAGCATGTGCTCCGGCTCTTCCTGAGCTCCATGCTACCCTTTGAAAACTGTGAGCAGGTTCTCATTTTGTAGCCAGGGACTAAGGCCCAGAACCTTTAAATAACCTAACAGGGTCCCAGTGCACAGCAAGATGTATACACTCAGCTTGTTTGATATCAAAATCTGTACACAATATAGTGGAATCAATCTTGATATATACACATATACACTTAAGCCATAGGATTTTTAATGGTGAAATTTTTCTATATAAAGTAAATTTTAAGGGTGAATCACAATTTCAGGATAAATGTATTGTTCCTTTTTGGAACAGCATGAGAGTTAGAATGTCAATTGTAGATATCTTTTAAGAATCAGAGTTAATATTGAAAATTAAAAACACACAAACTATAGGTTGGAGTTCATATAAGCCTTTTGTTAAAATAAATGGATTAAATTATTTTATCTGGCATGTTATGAAAAAAATGTAATGTCCTATTCTAAGAAATAGTTTGAATATTCTAGTTGACATCTTATTAGGCCACAGTGAGCTGTGCTCAGCACAAAGAGAAATAGTTTTTGACAACCAGAAAATCACAGAAGGCTTTTGAAGGCATATTGTCATAACTTTTGATCTTCAATGTAGAGATTAATTTCTCTTGTATCCTGTGTGAGATATTAGTTTATTGCATATTATTTTTATTTTAATTCAACATTTGCCTTAAATGTGTTGTTAAATGAAAATATAGACAGCTTCATTGTTGTTTTGTTAATAATTGTTAGTTATTGTTGTAGGCATTTTATTAAATTAATTTGGTAAATTATTTTAAACCCCTAATCAGTATATTGGTCGTGATTTATATTTTCCAAAATTCTACAACACTTACAATGCACAGGAAAGGAAATGTTCTTACTTAAAATTTTATTAAATTATTTTTAAAGTTAATTTCAAAAATAAACATAATTTATTAAGAAGCTCATGGCCTAACAATTGCACAGAACAAATTGAATGCTTTTATTTTTGAAGTCCCTGAATATTCCACACAGACCTCCATCAGCTGACTTGTTACCTAGAGCTACTTTTAGTACGTCGTGGTATCCAATTATGTTCAGTTTTGGTTTTCAGTATCTTAGACTCTTGCTTTCTGTTATCAAATTTTTCAGCCATATGTCCAATCACGCAAAGCATGTGATGACATTTTAAGTTTTTAAACTTTTAAAAGAAACATCAAATTACATCCTCATTGAAATTTAATAAAACAGTAACCATACATGGCATTAAAAGAAGTTTTATTTAAAGTGGTTATCAGAGCTGGGGATGACATAGAATAGAGCTTTGTGATAAAGCAGCTGTCTTGTGTACTTGAGGCCCTGGGTTTGATTCCAGAACCACACAAAAGTGGAAATTTATTTAGTGGTAATTGGCATGAGACTTGGGTTTCTTGGAAAATGTGTAATATCCCTTTTTAACTCTAATGTGAGAAGACAATCACAGGGGAAATACTTCCCAACTAAAAACTTACTATTGAAATTGCGATATTTCTTATTTGACAACATACAGGTGATGTGAACAATAAAATAATTTGAAAAGTCTGTAAATGAGTTGAAGCTTTTTATGCTTCAAAGCAGCGTAGGTAGTTGCCAATGTGTATTAGCTTTTGGGCTTTCAGGGTTAGTGCTGCAGAATTTGGAAACGTTATTAGCTCAGGAAATGGGTGATTGGAAAGGTTGGCTCAGACACAGTATGAAAATAGCCCAGTTATTCTGCAAAAGTTTATTTAACATCCACTGCTCTCACTGCCAGCCGTCAGCACTCTCCTCCTGAACTTACTCCCCGCTTATTGAGCCTGATCTGCACTAATCACGTGACTCTACTTTGCCCATGCTGTCCTCCATTAGCAGGACCCTGAGCCCATTTCATGACGCCATAGTTCACTCTCTTCCAATATTTTAAATAAAAAAATGAATGAGATAAGTATCACCTTCTAATATTAGGGGACTTGCAAGTGGAAATTATTTGGATTAAAAATAAAGCTGAGATGAAAAGATATGAGAAACAAATACACAGTTGTATTGCAGATCGAAGTTTCTGGCAATGATTATTGTGTACTTTGCTGCCAGGATAGAAACATATGAGGAAAAAAGTGAAATCATTTTGTCTTCTCCTGTGTAATATCTGTATGAAATGAAACAAATGGCTTTACCAGTCATTCTGACTTTACTCTGTTCTATCTAGATTGGCTGTATAGGGAGAAAATTCATTGTATGGTATTTCCTTGACCATTTATCAAATTTTCAGAGTATATTTGCATCTGAAATCAAAATAACAACTAACCTTATTCAAACTGACTTAAACCAGTTTAAACACATGCCCAAGTGTAGTTTGCAAATTACTTTTAAAAACTCTTCAGTGTTACTTATTTTTAAATAATATGATAGGATGGGTATATTAATCACTTAACTATAAGAAATATAAAAGCAGACAAATTCCACCTCTATTAAAAGGGCTACTAAGTTTTATAAAGACTACTATTAAAAGCTTAGTCAATTTTCACACAAAATGTAAAGAATCTATTATTTTTATATTAGATCAATAAAGGGCATTAAGGTTATTTAAGTGGGAAAATTATCCAGAAAAAACAAAAATTTTACAGATAAATAGGCTTAAGTATGTAAGTCTATCATGAAAAAATAGCTTTCATTACTTAGAAGATGGTATTTTTTTATTTTTAGTATAGGGTGTACAGGGTCTCACTACGTAGATTGGACTCATAGTGATCCGCCTGTGTTCAGCCTCCCACAAATTGGGATTACAGGCATGCGCCACCATGCCTAGTCTCATTTGCCATTTCAGCATGTCCCGGGGGCAGGGCCAGCACAGCAGGCTGGGGATTGAACCCCAGGCCTCTGCATCTGCCTAAGCAGGTGCTTTAATCTGCTGAGCTATTTGACCAGCCCTAGGGGATGATAATTTCAATTTGAGGTAAATTGAAGGAAAAATTTCTTCAGGGATATAATAAATGTACAAAAAATCAACTGTTTAAATTTTGTAGGATTAATAGCTACTTCAAAATATGTTTTATCATTTTCAAAACAAAAGGCATAGTGCAGTCATATATTTTTTCACTTGTTTATTTATTTATTTACTGAATAAATATTTGCTTAATGCCTATTAATATGCCAAGTACACCCCAAGTATGTGAATGTAAGGCAAAAAAAATCAAATCTCAGTTTGATTGTTCAAAGCTTAAATTCTATTTTAATAGATAACAATTTGTTTTAAACAGTTTATTTAAAGAAATCCCCTTTTGATTAAAAAATCCAAATTAATTAATGAAACATACATATAGTTAACCATTGTATGAAGGATATTTTTAAAAATAGTGTAGTTTGAATCTTGTAATAAAAATTGACCTTGATTCTGCATCTGTGTATTTTTTCTATAAAATTAAATCTTTTCTGCGCTAATTGCATGTGCTTTCAAGCTATAAAGGTAAATCCCTCACTCTCAAGATGGGCAATGGGATTTTTTAAAAACAATACATTTACAAATAATACCAGCTAATAACAGGTGCAAAAGTGTTTGATAGACAATAGTTATTTCTAGTCAGTTCTGACTTACTTGACAAGCAGTTCCACTGTGAAGCAGTAGCTTGATATCTTACTATTTGATCATTTGTTTCCCTTTCAACCAGCGTAGTTTTGAAGACCAAACCTGGGCCTCCTACAGGCTCGACAAGCATTTGGCCACTGAAACCTCAGACTCAAATAGTTTCTAAATGTTAGTAAAGACTCCGAGATTCCTAGTTCTTTCAAGAGACTGTCAAAGTACTCTGAAAGCACACTATATCTACACGAGAAAACTTAAATGCACAAATAATATTTTGTAAACAATGATGTAAAAATAAAATTTATAAATATTTGTGGAAGAATAATCCAGAAGGAAAACAGAATTTTTCCTCAAGTCTTTGAATA